GGCTCCCCTCACCTGCGGACCCCCCCGCTGTCCCGCCCCCCCGGCTCCCCTCACCTGCGGACCCCCCCGCTGTCCCGCCCCCCCGGCTCCCCTCACCTGCGCCCGGCTCGGCGCTGGCCCCGTACTCGGCGGCGTCCCGTCTCCGGGCGCAGGTGCCCTGGCCCTGCACTAGCGCCTGCAGCGGCAGCTCGGCGCCGGGGTGCGGGTAGCAGCGGAGCCCGGCGGCGCAGCGCGGCGTGTACACCCCGCACGACTGGTTCTCCAGGCGGGCGCAGACCGGGCAGCAGCCGCAGCCGGGCTCCCGCACCAGCTCGGGGCAGGCGGCGGCCGGGGCGCAGGCGGCCAGGCGCTCGGCGCTGCAGGGCGGGCAGCGGAACAGCACCTCGGGCAGCGCCGGCCGCGCCAGCGCCGCCGCCAGCAGCAGCAGCCGGAGCCAGGCGGCCGGAGCCGGGCGGCAGCGACCGACCCGCGGCAGCATCGTCGCGGGAGTGCGGGGCGGCGAGCGGGCGGGCAGGTGGAAGCCTCCTCCCGGCCCCCCGGGGAGCCGGCAGCCGCCGGGTCCTAGAGCCGCCCCTTCCGCCCACCCGGCCCCCGCCTCCGCCTCCGCCTCAGCGCGGGGAGCGGGCTGCCCCCTCCAGCCCAGTGCCGGGGGGGATCGGGGCCTGCCCCCCTCCCGCCCCGCGCCGGGGGGGCCGGGGGCGGCCCCCCCCCCCCCCCCCCACACACACACACACTGCTGGGTGCCAGGTTAGGGGGCTGCCCTCCCACAGTGCCGGGTTAGGGGGCTGCTCAAGTCCTGTGCCAAGGAATCTGGCTGGTGTTTGCTTCCATGTCCGCCAAGCCACTGGCGTTTTGAAGCGTGAATATGATTGAGATCAAGGGCTGCCCCGTCTGCGTGCCAGCTGAGATATGCCCAGCATGCGTACTCCGTGTGCAAGAAGCAAACTGACAGCGGGGACAGGCAGAGTTGAAAGAAACCAGGCACTTGGTGTCTAGATCCCAGCTATGGAAGGACTGAAAGAAGCTACTAAAGGAGGAGGCAGAATCAGTTTGAGGCTGAAACACACATGAGAAACCTCAGCACCCCTCTGTTTCCCGAAGAAACCCCTGGAAGGTGAATTTCCACACCCATTATTAATAGCACTTTCTATCCAAGCGCCTCACTACACCTCTGAGATGTAGGGAAGTGCTATCCTAATTGTATAGAGGTGGAAACTAAGGCACAGAGAAGTTAAGTGACTTCCTCAAGGGCACATCCCAAGTCTTTTGCAGAGCCAAGAATATAAACCTGATCTTCTACTTCCCAGGTTTCTGGCTTAACCACAAAACCATGCTTCCTCCCTAGTCCATAAGAAGCATTCATTGCTGTTAAATATCACTGGTCTTAAATAAGTTTCTGGAGAGATGTTCCAATTCAGCAAGTCTTGATTAAGGGAGGTATATTCTCTATATCTACTCCCTACTTTGCATGAGTCCCTAAGTGTTTGTAATGCACTTAATGATTCTCAGATGGAGGGTGCAACAAGAAAGGCATAGTTGTATCCAGATGAAACTGGAAGCGCCAAACCACATGACCAAACCCCTCTGCTTGTGAGATTTCCCAGATTCCAGAGATTCATAGAGGCATCCAGATATTGATGCTTAAGGAACCAAACCTCCAAACCTTTGGAGGTTGACCCAATCACTACTCCTGATGAGTACCCAGCAGATCTAATAATACCTATTTCTTATATAGTGCTTTTCATCAGTAGATCTCAAAGTGCTTCACAATCTTTGATGGATTTATCCTCACAACACCCCTGTGAGATAGGGAAGTATTAGTATCACCATTGTACATATAGGGATCTGAGGCACACAAAAGCCAATTTACTTGCCCGATCTCATATTGGGAATCTGTGGCAGAGCAGAATTCTGGTCTCCCAAGTTCTAGGCTTGTGCCCTAACCATTGGACAATCCTTCTCGCTACTCCAAGAAAAGTCAATGCCCTGCAATAGGGGAGCCAATTGTAAGTTCAGCCAGATAAAAGAAAAGTTAGTGAGAGAAGGCTTGAGAACTGCAGTTATTTTATTACTACACCTCTAGCCCGATATAACGCGACCTGATATAACACAAATTCGGATATAATGCAGTAAAGCAGCGCACCGGGGCGGGGCGGGGGGGAGGCTGCGTGCTCCAGCGGATCAAAGCAAATTTGATATAACGCACTTTCACCTATAACGCGGTAAGATTTTTTGGCTCCTGAGGACAGCGTTATATCAGGGTAGAGGTGTATTTCTATTGCAGTAGCTACAGTAACTCCTCATTTAATGTTGTAGTTATGTTCCTGAAAAATGCTACTTTAAGCAAAACAATATTAAGCGAATCCAATTTCCAAAAAAGAATAAAATTAAAGGGGGGGGGGGGTTAGGTTCCAGGGAATTTTTTTTTGCCAGACAAAAGGCTATATATATACACATACACACACACACACATATACACAGTATAAGTTTTAAACAATTTAATACTGTACACAGCAATGATGAAAGGCTGAGGGAACTGGGATTGTTTAGTCTGCAGAAGAAAAGAATGAGGGGGGATTTGATAGCTGCTTTCAACTACCTGAAAGGGGGTTCCAAAGAGGATGGATCTAGGCTGTTCTCAGTGGTACCAGATGACAGAACAAGGAGTAATGGTCTCAAGTTGCAGTGGGGGAGGTTTAGGTTGGATATTAGGAAACACTATTTCACTAGGAGGGTGGTGAAGCACTGGAATGGGTTACCTAGGGAGGGGGTGGAATCTCCTTCCTTAGAGGTTTTTAAGGTCAAGCTTGACAAAGCCCTGGCTGGGATGATTTAGTTGGGAATTGGTCCTGCTTTGAGCAGGGGGCTGGACTAGATGACCTCCTGAGATCCCTTCCAACCCTGATATTCTATGATTCTATGATTGTGAAGCTTAGTTGAGGTGGTGAAGTCAGAGGGTGGAAGAGGGTGGGATATATATTGCTAAATGATGAACTAGCACTCAGCTGAGCCCTCAAGGGTTAACACATTGTTGTTAATGTAGCCTCACACTCTACAAGGCAGCAGGAAAGGAGGGAGGGGAGACAGCATGGCAGAGAGAGACAGAGACACACACCGTGTGTGTGTGAGACAGAGACACACATTGCCCCTTTAAGTACGCTGACCCCACTCTAAGTACATTGCCTTTTTCAGTAGATCAGCAAGCTGAGATAGCTGCGGCTGCCAGCAAGCTCCATCGGTCCTGAGCCTGTCCTGTCCCCCACCCCAGGGCCGGCTTTAGGAACTGCGGGGCCTGATTCGAATACCCGATGGTGGTCCGGGTCTTTGGCGGCACTTCAGCGGTGGGGGGTCCTTCACTCGGCTCCGGGTCTTCCGTGGCACTGAAGGACCCCCCCGCCGCCGAAGTGCCGCCAAAGACCCGGAGCGGACCCCCGCCGCAGAAGACCCAGAGTGGGGCCCTCTTAGGCGTGGGGCCCGATTCTGGGGAATCGGGGGAATCGGCCTAAAGCCAGCCCTGCCCCGCCCCATTCTCTGTGGAGATAAGGTACGGGGGGACAGGAGCGTGTGGAGGGGGACACCCTGACATTAGCACCCCTCTTCCCCCCCCCCCAGCAAGCAGGAGGCTCCCGGGAGCAGCTCCAAGGCAGAGGCCAGGAGCAGCACATGGCAGTGGGGGGAGGGAAAGCTGAACTACCAGGCAATTGATAGCCTGCTGGGCGGCTGCCGCACAGGGAACTTAGTAGAGCTGATGGGGGGCTGCCAGTCCACCCTGGTTCTGAACCCCCCACCAGCTCGCTCCAACGGGCTGCTCTTTCTGCAAGCAGTGGACAAAGCAGGCGGCTGCCAAACAACATTAGAAGGGAGCACTGCACAACTTTAAACGAGCATGTTCTCGAATTGATCAGCAACGAAACAACGTTCACCGGGACGACGTTAAGTGAGGCGTTACTGTACCTAGAGGCTCCACACCAGCTCAGGACCTTACGTTAGGGATGTACCCTTAAGGTCTACACAATAAAGAAAAACCTACGCCTTGCCCATGCCAGCCGACTCGGGCTTGGGCTGCGGCGCTGTTTCACTGCTGGGTGGACTTCCAGGCTTGGGCTGGAGCCTGAGCTCTGGGACCCTGGGACTCCAGCTGGCACAGGCCAGCCACAGGTGTCTAGTTGCCTTGTAGACAGAGCCTGAGTGGGTGTGTGATGGATGCCATCCTGGCACTATATCAGGGACTAAGGCCATGACTACACTACAAACTTTGGTCGATGCAAGTTACATTGGCGTAAAGTCACTGCAGTTAGCAGATCACTTATGCAGGTGGATACTTGTGTCGGCACTGCACATAGTCAACAGGAGCACTTGTGTCAATACACAGGGCGGTGCACCATGGGTAGGTATCTCAGTGTGCAACCCACACTGCCCAGGGCACTGTCTTTTGGGAAGTTTTGACAACGCATAGTAGGGCAGAAATGAGTTGTGCAGGGTTGACTGGCAGCAAGGGTTCAACTGGCCAGCGTGCAACAGCCTCCATCCATAGGCGCCAACTCCGTGGAGCACCCAAGGGGAAAAATTGGTGGGTGCTCTGCACCCACCGGCAGCTCCCCTCCCTGTCCCAGCTCCCCTCCGCCTCCCCTGAGTGCGCCACGTCCTGCTTCTCCCCCTAGCTCCCAGCTCTTGATGCTGAGAAACAGCGCTGGGAGGGAGAGAGGGGGGAGGAGCAGGAACGTGGTGCGTTCAGGGGAGGAGGCGGGGAAGAGGTGGGGCCGGGGTGGGGATTTGGGGAAGGAATCCAATAGGGGCGGAGTTGGGGTGGGGACTTTGGGGAAGGGGTTGGGATGGGGGCGGGGCAGAGGTGGAGTCAGGCCGGGGATGGGGGGGGGGGCCTCGAGCACCCACCGGTGCCGGGAAAAGTTGGCACCTATGTCTCCATCCCATAATGTTATCTATATCCCATAATTTTCACACCTTTTTTTAAAATCCCACAAACCCACATGGCTCTCCTTGCTGTCTGCCATTTCTTACAGAAGATTGGAGCCTGCATAGCTCTGCGCTATTGTCATGAGCATTGCGCGCACAGGATGCATGATTCTCTCGTATTTGCAGAGTCATAAGAAGAACCGAATCAGCGGGAAAGGACAGATTGCTGTGAGACATAGCAAGAACTAATTCAAGGTTGTTGGTGGCAATCATGGAGCATCTGCAGATGGCGAGCGCCATTTCTGGGCCACTGATTGGTGGGATTACATCATAATGCAGGTTTAGGATGAAGAGAAGTGGCTGCAGAACTTTCAGATGTGGAAGGCTGGGGAAACTTGCAACACACTGAGGAAACTTGCAACATCGGACTGCTACTGGTCAGTGGGAAATCATTTTGGAGCTGGAAAACCCACTGTGGGGGCCACTGTCATACAAGTGTACAGGGCCATTAATCGTCTCCAGCTACACAGGACTGTGATTTTCTGCAATGTGCAGGACATAGTGG